AAAATTGTGCTTTGAGCCCTAATTATTATAAAAATTACAAATTTTAGTCCCAAAATGGAATTTTGTAAAAATTTCCTTCTTGACTAATTTTGATGTTTTGATCAAGATTTCAATGTTTAAAATTTCATCTTGAATTTATTGTTATGAGTTTGCTCAAATTATTTAATTTATGAGAATTTAATTTAGAACGGTATTTTCGTTAGGATAATGACACGAGTTAAAGAGATCTAAATCTCGTTAATAATTATAATAACGTTATAAGATAATAAAACACAATCAGAATTTCCGTAATCAAGTCTCACAATTAACGAATTAGTACAAAGGATTGTGTCATTCATAGGACGCATGGTTTTCGGAGAAGGTATAACTGAGGATCCTTCCAAGGTTGAAGTTGTTAGCAATTAGAAGCAACCGACTAATGTGAGATAAGTGCATAGTTTCTTGGACTAGTTGGTTATTTTAGGCGATTTATGGAAGGATTTTTCAAGATGGCCCTCCCGCTATCGGCCGTAGTATTCGCTTTAAACATTTGGCGCCACTACTTGTATGGAGTGCACTGCAACATATATACCGATCATAGGAGCTTAAAATATATATTTACCTAGAATGAATTGAATATGAAACAAGAAGGGTGGTTAGAGTTTGTTTAAGGGTTAAGATTGTGAAATGCACTACCGCCCGAGAACGGCCAATTGAGTAGCAGACACACTGAGTCAAAAGGCCACGGCTACCATCATGTCACTACAAGAAGTTCCCAAACCGCTCCAAGCTTATTTATGTAGCTTGGAAATGGAAATTGTGACGGGACAGTGTCCGCGCTCACCTTACAGCTGACGACTATACTGAAAGGAATTAAAGGTGCTCAACAACTAGACCCCTGCTTCATAAGGCTTAGGCAAGAGGTTTTAGAAGGAAACTACAACGATTTTCAAATATCTAAGGATGGAATGTTGGGTATGAAAGGTAGATTATGAGTTCCCAACGTAGGCGAATGGAAGAAACAGATCATATATGAGGCTGATAATTGCTATTGATTTTGTATCCGGATTGCCTAAGTCCTCTGAGGGATAGGATATGATGCACGCCATCGCGAACAGATTGACCAAGACAGCTCATTTCTTACCGATTTTGAAGACTTATTCAGTAGGTAAGCGAGCTGATCTTTACATGAAGGAGATCACGTGTCTACATGGGACTCCAACCTCAATCGTATCTGGTAGAGACGGGCATTTTACTTGTCTGTTTTAGAGAAGTATGCAACATGCTTTAGGCGCAAAGTTTGAATTTTAGCATGTCTTTTCCACAAATTGATAGACAACAATTACTAAGCTTCGATAGGGATGGTCCCATAAGAAGCCCTTTATAGTCAGAAGCGTAAATCGTCAATTCCATAGCATGAAGCTGGAGAGAGGAAGTATTATGCACCAGAAAAGATGGATGTCATCATCACAGCAATCAAAAAAATCCACAAGAGACTCGAAGTGACATAAGATAGGCGACAAAAGTACGCTAATGTAAGGCGTAGGCCATTAAAGTTCCAAGAGGGAGATCAAGTGTTCTTGAGAATAGCTCCAGTTAGGAGTTATGTGTTTTGGGATGAAAGGGAAGTTAAGCCCTAGATATATATATATAGAGGAGTCTTGAGATACTCACGAGTGGTGGCGCCATTGGCTTATCTTAACCTTTCCACCCTCCCTAGCCGGTGTTCAAGACGTTTTTCACGTATCAATTTTAAAGGATCCTTCTCACATCCTCAAGTATGACTCCTTGAAGGTTAACTTAGCTTAGCATATGAAAAAGTATCGGTCCAAATCCTGGACCGAAAAGACAAGGAGCTATGGAACATGAAGATACCCTTGGTAAATGTACTGTGGAGAAATCACGCGGTAGAAGAGGCAGCTTAGGAACTCGAAGATGCAATAGACAAGATTTACCTGAGTTTATTCTAAACTTCAACCACTAAACTTTCATAATATGTAGGAGATTATGGTACGCTGTATTAAATTGTTAATTCCGAGACATGCTTATGAAAATTCTCAAAGCTTTTTTATTATTTTGTGACGTTATTATAATTATTAAGTGGATTTAAATATCTTTTTACTTGTGCATAATCCCAACAAAAATTATCGTTTGTGGATAAAACTCCCGTAAATTCAATAATTGAAGCAAACTCATCAAAATAAATTCCATATGGAATTTTCAATATTGAAATCTTGATTGGAACGTCAAAATTAGTTAAGGAGAAAATTCTCACAAAATTCAATTTCGAGACTGAAAATTTATAATTTTTACAAAATTTGGGACCCAAAGCGCAATTTTAAAACATGTGGGTCAAAAATAGAGAAACTGATAGACTTCTAAAAGATTCTGATTAGATGATTAGAAGTCACCAACCATTAAAGCCAATAGAAATTTAGGGTTCGTTTGGTTGGAGAATTCAAACCATGTGATTCGAACTATTTTCGATTTACGTGTATTTTTTGTGAGAGAAAATACTGTAGCGAACCACGAATCATGATTCGAATCAGGAAACGAATCCCTCTACCAAACGCCCCCTTAGCTAGTATAAAATCAAATTAAAAACACAAGATTGAGAACATATCATTATTTCAAACACTATCCGATAGTCTCTCTCACATAAAATTTTTTTACCAAAAACTGGAGAGAGAACCTCTAGGAAATCCACCAAAAACTCTCCAAAACAACAAATTTTAATCAAAATCTTGCCCCCAGCTCATAGACTTAACAGCCCCTTCGATTTCTTGGAGCTAGAGGTGATTTTTGAGCCCTAGAAATCTCACAAAAACTGAGTTCAAGGTCCAATATGAGAATAGGAGTTCTAAAATCGCTCATGGCAAGATTTTCCCTTTGAAACTCGTCCATTGGCTAACTTCTTTGATGGTTGGCTTCTAATCCGAGCTTAAATGATTGTTTCATGATATCATTATACCTCTGAATCTGCCACTCAAGCCAGGCATGCTTTTCCCACTGCAAGCTATGAGTTCATCGTTAAAGTGAGGCCAATCGCTATTGTTTCTTTAAGGGTGAGAATCCCTAACCCTTAAAAACTGTGGGACTGAACGAGCATTTTGATGTAGAGTGATTTTTTATGACCATCTAGTCTGTTTTCCGTCCTTGTCACTTCCTTTGCCACGTCATCATCTTCTTCTTCTAAGTAGGAAGGCCACTAAGTCCACGCTCCTCTATAACTCTCTGAAACCCTGGGTTTCAGACGTGCATCTAGATTGAAAAAGGCTGATTTGAACCTCTTTTCCCCAACATAGAATCTTCATGGTGGCAGGTATAAATCTGATTGGTAGGCCCCTGACTTGGAGTGTGACATAAGAAACTCCTGATTCAATGATTCTGGATCTGTTTATCAAGCCTCCTAATGTGTTGCAACTCACTTTATACACATGTTGGTTCCTCATATTTAAAGGAATGCCTTCTATCCCTATCCAACCTGATCTTACTCCAATTACATGGTTCTTCCAGTGAGCATATTGATTCCATGGTTTCACTGTGACGAAAAAGCTTTCCGGTAGCCAAAACCTTTTAGTCAATAACACCTTTTCCCTCTCATCTCTGTTCAAGATGGCTAACAGGTAAACTTGCACTTGTCTGTATAGTCTTTGACTAAAACCTCTATTCACCTCTGTCCATGATTGTTCCAAGCAGCCTCTGTATACTACAACTGCAAGATCATTATTTCTTACAACACTATTTTTTTATGAATGATTTTCTTCTACCACGTTCTTACGATCAATTCTCCGCGCCAGCTTGACTGGCTATTGATCCGTCTAACTTCTATTGGCTCAAATTCATGTGTACTTCTGTCCCAACTTTATCTTCCCATATGCATGGTGCACAAGTTTTCAAAATTCCTTGAATAAGTATAAGAATTCCAAGTTCTACCTAGGAAAACATCCAATCTATTTCTAGTAATCTTCCATCGCTCCTTACCTCCCTCATCTGGAATAATAATACCTCACACTACACCACCTTGCACCTTTGAGAGTTTTAAGTATGCTCCTATCTTGTTACTCAGAGTTTCCGCCAGGAGAGTGAAAGCCGCATTCGACAACTTGTGAATATATCCCTGCTTTGCATCAAAACTGCAGACTAAATCTAGAGTATCGCTGCCAAAAAGCTGCCTCTATGGAATGAAGAATTTTAATATGAGCCTTGTTTCCTCAATCTTTATCTGACCACCATCCTTACTCAAGGAGATTCTAAAGGATTTAGAACCTACACTAAATTCTTGGTTGAAAAAGACCCTATTTTAATGAGACATACAGAGATTAGGAATAAAATGAAAGGGAAATAGAAAAAAGCTTCCTAGAATACTAAAGAGAGGGGAGGGCTTCTCTCTAGACTCACATATCTAAGCACCTACTAAGAACCTTTTATGCCCCAATTTTAACATTTGAATTTTCATATACATGTATTTTAAATCAACCACAATATTATGAACCTTAAACTACAAAAAGTGAATTAAACTCGATTAAAAATGTTGTATTGTTGTTTTAGTAAAATTTGTTGGTTTAATTTCCGCCCACCCTGAAAAAAATTTATGGTTCCACCACTGGGCTCTCCATTACATGATCGTTTGATGTACTCATGTTGAGAAAACATGAGGCATCCCCTAATCTTGGACTGGGAAACATCACATCTGAGTTCATAAAAATAAATGTGCAACTAGTACCCTTGGACAAGCATCCTGAAACATCTTTTGTTATGTTTCACGAGTCTATACATACTAATGTCTGCATCACAGTTAAATTATTAAATTAATGTGCAACTAGTACCCTCGGACAAGCATCCTAAAACTTTTTTCATCTTTTATGTTTCACGTGTCTATACATACTAATGTCTGCATCTTAGTTAAATTATTAAATTAGTACTTTCATTAGTTGATGCTCTGTTTAATTGAATTTAACTATCTTTGCTAAAAAAAAACACTTTTCTTTAATTTTATCAAGTCAGTTATAGCTCTAAAGTTCATAATTGTGGGATAACTGAAAAATACAAAAATTAAGGACCTACATTATTGGAGAAAAGTACCCGGTCTTAGAAAAGACATCTAGAATGAGGGAAGAGGATCGGAAGCAATATCACACCAGAATTCACTTCATAGGACAATAAAGATGAAGCCCTACATGAACAAAATCAAAAAGGATTTAGCAACAGGAAAAACTAATCTTCTAATAAAAGGCTATCAATAGAAGAGCGATCCAGATATGTTCTCACATCTTTCACTATAAATTTGTCCAAAACATTCAATTGAGGCAGTAACCATTCAGATATGTAGACTGGGCAATTTTGATGATGCCTTGTAGTGAGATTATCATCAGCTAGGAAATAAAGATAGTGCACGTTCGTAGTTAATGACAAAGAAACTACTTGCAATTTCTTTTACTTTTGACAAATAGATTACACAAACATAGAGGTAAAAGTTTGGACCGCCTGACCCTGCCTAGGCCCGAATTAAAATTCAGGCAGGCCAGGCCAGCCCTAAAGGGGAGAGGGTCGGCCCACTCCGGCCCTAAAGCCTGACAGGCCTTAGGCCAGGCCGGAATTTTATAAGATATTTTCAACAAAAAAAAAATTAAAAGGATTATTCTCACTGGTGCCCCCTGAATTTTGAGGTCATTCCCAATTTGCCCCCTGAACTTTAAATTGTTCTCACTTAACCCTTTTTGTTGTGAAATCTGTTCAAATCAGATGGAAAAGGAGGGGGGGCCAAGTGTGGTCATGTGATTTTTTTCTTTTTTTAACAAAAATCCAAACAGAAAGATCACGTGACTGCATTATTCTCTTTTTTTCCTGTTTTTAACAGAAAATTGCAACATAAGGGGTTAAGTGGAAACAATTCAAAGTTCAGGGGGCAAAATGAGAGTTTTTTTTTTAAGTTCAGGTGGTAAACTGAGAATGACCCTAAGGTTCAGGGGGTATCAGTGATAATAATCCAAATTAAAAAGAGGGTGGGCGTTTGGGCCGGGGCCAAGCCGGCCCGAATAAGTTTTGGGTTCAAAACCTCGGCTCAGCCCGGTCCAAGGGTCTAGACTACACAAACATTGCAAGAATTTGAAGCATAAAGATGGGTCCAAACCTGAGGCTCGTACTAGTATTCTGTGTGTGATAAAAGACTGCAACAAGAAATCAGATGATTAAAAGATGCAAACAGTGAATCATAGAATTTGAATATTAATTGTCCCTCCACTTATCTCTCTTTCTACTCATTTACCTAGTAAAGGACCAAAGGTTGAACCAGACTTAACCCAATCCTATCACCAGTGTACAAGTTCAAAAATTCACGGGTTTTCTTAGAAATGAACCTTTTGTCCAACTGAATTGAAAAATAGAACCTGTGTATAAAAATATGACTTTCCAGACCAAATTAATGTGGATAAACAAAAATTAGGACATTTCAAGTAGTATAACTTGACAGAATTGTAGTTTATATCCGAACAGAAAGTTTTAAGCTCTATTATGTATCTGTATTTATGAAACGTGATATGGATTAATTTCCAGCTCACATTGTCAAGAACAAATGGCCTTGCGGCCTTAATTCACAGAAGAGGTTTATTCTTCAATATCAGACTCAGTGGAACAAAAAAATCATTTCTCCAAAACAAAACCTTTCATACTTGTGGAATTCTAATATGCCCACCGCCACTCAAAGCATTGTCCATAGGCGTGAGATAGCATAAAACTTAGTAATGAATTTCTTATTTCTTTTTTTTTTCCCCTCTACAGCACCTGTGTATTTCTGTGATATAGGATAAAACTTGTGCCTTCTACAGGAGAGTCATGATTTGCACATATTCGAGCGGCATTCGGAAGTGGAATTACATCCATTTCTATCTTTAAAGGACATAACCAAATGCATACATTTTATTGTCATGATGAAAATGCTAAAAGAAAGTTCACAAAAATATTAGCTTTTGTTCTCAAAATACTATTCCCCTTCCCCTTTTGGTCTTCAAAGAAAAGAATAATGTCTTCTTTATCCTAAAAGACTAGCATAAAAGACAGTCACGGAAAACTGCAGTGCTTATTCTAAAATTGATTTTTTTTTTCAATCTCCCCATGCGGTTCAAGAAGCAAAAAATAATAATAATAATAATAATAAATAAAAGAAAAGTTTATCAAAAAAAATAAAATAGATAATTTGTGAATCTCTAATAATCCACTTTTGAGCAAATATTTTTTTTTTTGGTCCATATTGGTTGATAGGGTCTTTGGTGACTCTAATCTGGTTTTGTGTTGGATTTAGTTGGGTCCTAATGCAGTTGTTTGGTCTCCTTTTTTTTTTTGCTGGAGTTTATTCTGCTTTTTTTTTTTGTTATTTATCCTTTTCCTTTACTTCTTTTATTTATTGTTAATTGTGGCTCAAAATTCGCCACGTTTTCTACACTTTTTTTACAAGTGTATAAGCTTGTTGCCCAAGGCTACCCAAGGCTGCCCAGATGCTTATTGACCAAGCATATCAGCTTGTCTCCCACGCTTATGGCCTTATAAATAGGGTGCAATACTACCCATTTGAAGCATCCCAAAAATTGTGAGTGAGTGTGTGATTGTAGTTTTTTCTATATTCTCTTTAGTTGCTTTTGTGAGAGTATTTTGGGTCATTTGGGATTTGGGTTTTTTGAGAGAGTTTAAACAATCTTTTGTAATCTCTTTGTTATTTTTGTTAGTGAAAATTCCTCGTCGTCTTCGGACGTGGACGTAGGCTAAAAGTCAAATCACGTTAATTTTTATGTGTTATTTTCGCTTACTTTATATCTTATTTTGTCCTAAAATCCATTATATTTTGGCAGAATTCCCAACATTTTATTATATGATTCTCATGGATGTTACCTTATCCTCTTCCTTGTAATAGATTTATACTCAATAAAAGGAGTTTATCAATCAAAGAATTACAGCATCTGTGCCTAGTGGCAATCTACGCAACTTCTTATTTTTCAAACTTGACAGAAAAAACAAATCAAATAAATCCGTACTACTTTTTTCTCGCATGCATGCATAAATTTAGATTGGTTTTGCCTACGAGGTCTGTGAATATGTTATCTAAGATAATACTACTAAGCAATTAAAATACTTTCAATTTTTCACTAGCATCACACCTAATACTAGATAATAGTTGCTGCAAGCAGTAAAGCACCCATAACAAGTACCAATAGAGTAGAACGTTAACAAAGATTATGTCTCAAGAAACATTTTGAGCCAAGCAACTACATATTAACATTACCTGCCAGACAGAGGGCATATACTCACGATAGGGTAGTTTGTGAGTAGTACTTGCTACATTCCTATAATCTGGGGTGTCCGGGAAAAAAAAATTTCTGAAAAAGAAAAGTATTAGAAATAAGCCAAGCTTTTTGAAGAACTAGATAGTAGTTGCTCTTGAAGAGCAAAGAAAATATATAAAAAGAAGACAACAGTAGTAAGAGAGGAAAAACAAAGACGGCCATATTTAGACCTTTTTCCTTTTTAAGAAACAAAGATCTCTTATTGATAAGCAAGAATTGTGTACAAGAGATTATAAAAGGGTAAAAAGGGAAAATATTCCCCCATAATACAACAGAAAAAACTAAAGAAAAGAATCCTATGAATTTCTACCTCTATTTAGACCTGTTATTAGACCTGTTATTTACAACCTCTAGGAATGTGAAAAATATACAGAAACATAGTTGGAATTTCAGGATGACAGTTTACATCTTTCCATATATTTCTTTAGTATCGTTTTGCAGTTAATTTGCGTGCAGAAAGAGAAGCAGTTGGTTCAGATTTAATAGACATAATTGTCGACACCCAAGCCATAACCATTTAAGGCACCTATGAATGGTGAAAAAGATAATACAATAAAGCTACGTAGTCATAGAAGAATGGTTGAACTCAATGGAGAACAACCTCGAATTCATGCATCTTGAGGACCTTTAGAAGGTTAAATCTGTTGCTTATGCTGAACAAAGACGCGAGTTACTGGTGGGACGTCTGGCTTTTTTAAAAAATCTCAAATTACTTATTTATATTTAAGAGACCATTTTACTAATCTTTGAGGGTTTAGAAAAAAAAAAAAAAAAAAGGGAGATCTTTCCAAGTTCTTGGTTATCAGAAATTACAGATCATGAATTCATTAGTTGTTACAAACCAACGTAAATATTTTTTATCTATTATCTAGATCAACTAATTGAGGTCCTTTGATGGTAATGATTACACGAAATAATGAAATACATAACTGAATAAAATTTCGTATTTTATTGTTTTAGTGCGAATTACATAGTTCATAGTTCATACTCATAAGCAGGTGCCTCTAGACTCCGATTTTGTTAAATGTTAGTACGAGCAACTAAATAGACAATACACAATATATGAATTGCATATGATGGTTTCTGTGCTCATACACGTAATCCATAATATGCAATTCCATAGGGTCAAATGAAATTATATAATTATCAATAATCTGCAAATTTTTGACCTAACTGTCCACCTCTGTCAGCCAACCATAAAGAAAAAAAAAAGGCCTAACTGTGCACATCGAGTAGCACGAGAGATTGAAGTGCAAACTTCCCCAGATGTTTCATCCAAGACATACAAGGGTCAAAGGGTGGGTATCCCATATTGCTAGATCTTTTAATGTTTTAAACTTGGAACAATTACTTTCACACACCAACTAGCAGACTTCATGTAAATCAAGTTTACTGAAAATCATAACCTTTTCATGTATAGGAGAAAGGTGACAAAACTTCTAACGCAAACATACGGGGCATTTTAGGAACTAACCGCTGAACCTCATTGGCAGAATATCTTTCCCCCAAATTGGTTGTTTTTGTAGCTATAACAAGCATGGGGTGCACGAGTAGAAGCTTCTTCATCTCCTGAACTACAGTTTCTGAAATACTCTGAAGAGAAAAGCTTTTCCTGCAAACTAAGCTATAATTTCTTTCAATTGTAGTTGACTGAGAAAATAGACATTACAAATATGGTTACACAGACGTGTGAAATCTTATTTGGCTAGACAATATGACATACTAGTATTGTTAACAGCCCAAAATACTAGAAAGAGAATGTTATATTCCAACATCATGCAATACAAGAAAAAAAATAAAAATTTAAAATCCATTGTCGGGAGAAGATACGATAATCTTTATAAAAAGGTATCAAGATAACCATTTTCATTGCAATACTATGAAGTCAGAATTTTGACATCACTGTGGATTTCTTCATTCGAGGATATCAGACATGTGCCTTTATTTTCTGTTCATTTGAGGTGGAGGGATGTGGTTAACCGTGCAAGTTTATCTTTTTCAATTTTCTTTCTTCAGGACTTGGTTGGACAAACGCAGTGTAGTGAATAATGGTTTGAGATTTTAATTGAATCTGCTAAATAGATTGCATAATCAGATTTCAATGCATAAAATCACTATGAAAATCCACTTCACGAGGGTAATATGTAACCAAAGACTCGATCCTAAAACACCAGCAATAATCTCCAAAAGCTTGTCAACACTTTTGAGGGCATTATCCTGGAAGAACTATTCCATAAAATAAGCAGTAGCTTCAGTAGTTTGCCCCTATCTATTTCATAAAGCAAACATCCGATTGTCGGACTTCTAGAACTAGAAACATTTTCTTTCACTTTCTTCCACACTAAAAAATAATCAAGGCAGTCTTAACACAACCTGTCGGTGCTACTTTCCCCAACCTACTATCATATCATAACCAGAAAAGCCATAATAGTTCTTTAAAAAAAATAAATAAATAAAATAAGTAAAAAAATAAAAACAGAGAGAGAGAGAGAACAAGGGAATTAATAGCTTAACCACCTATTGTCTTTGAACTAACCAAACTGTAAAATTACCTGTTTGTATTCCTTGACAGAGATAATGTCAAGGCACGTTCTATCCAATGAAAAGCTCCAATGCTGCTAAAAAGAGTTCAGTTAGCAAGTCGTTGGTTAGTAATACAAATTACTTTCATAAATACCTCTGAACTTCGCACCTTGTTTCAACATGCCCCTGAATTTTGCAAAGGGTTCATTTCACCCTCTGAATTACGTACCCTAGCTCAAAATGCCCTCTAAATTTATGAAACTGAACAAAATGATGACGTAGCACTACTTATACTTTTATAAATGTCCCCTAAACTATTAATTTTAAGTCAATCTGCCCCTAAATTATAATCTTTGTGTCAATTTGCCCCTGATATTTTAAAAGAGTGGGAGGCAAATTGACACAAAATCAATAGTTCAGAGGCGTTTAAGAAATAACATTGGTTCAAGGGGTGTTCGGAACCACTTTTCATACTTTAATGGACGAAATGAACCCTTTTCAAAATTGGGGCCATGTTGAAACATGGTACAAAGTTCATGGAGCATTTATGAAATTAGTTCTAATAATAAATTATCAGACCAACTAACAATCAATTTTAGTGGTGCAAAAACCCCATACTTGTTTATACAAAAAATCATATCAGGATTTTACGTTCCAAATATTCAAAACTGTAATTATCTATTTGTTTGGTTGAAGCATGAGTATACATTCGGGTCTCATGCCAAAAATAAATAAATAAACAAATAAAAAGATAAAAATCAACATTCAGAGCGTCATAGCTTTCTACCTTCATACAGTCTAAATTTCTAATATTTCTCAACACCCATGGGTTTAGCTTGATTATTTAACACTTCAGAGCAACTATTAACAAAAGATGGAATAAGTCATTTTGATAATAAGGCTCAATTCCTGGCTTCGCTTTGGGCTTCGACAGATAGTTTAAGCATTTTCCTTTGTCTCTTATTCTGTTAAGTTGGAGGGATCCGTTGAGTCATTGAGATTTAGAGAGATATTGCATTATTGTTTCTTACTTGTCGAAATTGTTTTACTTTCCGCTTTTGAGGATCCCTCATCCTCGTCATCTTGTATTGATTAATTTTCATCAATAAAGGTTTTTGTATACTATCAAAAAGAAAAATTTGATAAAACTCTAGGAATTTCATACAAGTCAAATAATCCAAAAAATGTAATTGTATAATGACAAGGTTTCGGTACCATTCTTTAGCCCCATTAATTTTTAGCATCTGTTCGTTATTATATCTTTTCACAAAGCAAAAGTACATAAGTCCTCTATCTTTTTAACTATGGGTTTCACTCTTTTATTTTATACGGGAAGTAAGAAGAAATGAAACCACCAGGATTCAACCATCGAGCACACACTCATACATTCATGCACCCAACCACTTGAACTAGCCTCAAGTAACTATGGTTGGCTTTAAGGTAAAAACAAAATTAATCAATTTGGCTTCAGGCTATAAACACTGAAAGTGACTTATTGTTGTCACTCTTGAACGTAAATCTAAGACACTACTTTTAAATTTATTGTCTTGCTGTTTGATTTCCTTGTCAAGTAATTTTTGTTTGTACCTCCATAAAGACAATAAAGGCTACGTTTGGTAGGAGGCAAGGATGAAGAATATTATAATAATCCTTCATATTCTTCGATAGAAGAGAGGGAGTGTTGAAAATATGGATGAATAATTCATCTACTTGCTACATTGCCCTTTTAACTATTTGTTAATAATATTTTTTGGAGTAATCCTTCATGTTCTTTGTAGAAGGGCGGGAGTGTTGAAAAGATGGATGAATAATTCATCTACTTGCTACATTGCCCTTTTAATTATTTGTTAATAATAGCTTTTGGAGCGTAAAACAGACTTTTTATGTTTGCATTGAAGGATTTCTGGAATCTTGCCATTAGCAGAAGGATTAGACTTTGGGGGCTTAGGGAGACTTCATTCCTCCAACCCTCCGTTCCCTCCTCCCCTGCCCCCACCAAACAAGGGATTAGCTCTCTCCCTCCATCTCTGCCTCCATCTCTTCCTCCAATCAAAGAGAGTAAAGGAAACAAAAAGCTTCAAGACTTAGAAAGATGACCACCAAAATGAGCATATATGACCATCTAATTCAGTTGCAGCATTACCCTAATAATGAAACGTGGTTGCCTTTGTACTTCCATTTTGTAGAAAATCTCTCTGATATGTTACAACTACAAAGTTATTAAGAAAGAAGGACAAAAACAACTCATAGCAGAGTACTATAAATCTTAAGAAAAGAACAAACAAAAATAAAATAAGGCAGCGCACCAAGCAGAACAAGAACACAGATTATCACTAGCAAGGAGAAGGGAATGTATTTGAATCCCTTCACAAAAAACATGAATGAAGAAACTCATTTACAGCTAGACAAATGCCAAAGCATGTCAGCAAATACTTTATAGCAAAAACTTTCCTCAAAATGGTAGCGGAATCACCACCACTAACTTAAATAATACAACAAAATAAATAAGAAACACCCAAAAAAAAGGTCAAAAACTTGTATGGAAAATGTGAATAGAAGAAATAAGACCAGTAAACAAAATTTGATAAATTTATGTGGAGGTGAGCATTTGAGATTCCAAAGACAAACCTGTCAATCATTAGCAAGTACACACTTGATCTTTGTTCTTCTTTTACCTCATTAAGCTGATGATACAATGTCTGAAATCCAGAAAATTGAAAAATAATTGGGAAAATATCAGAAAATCTATGAATAATTCCATTACCTAAATAATCTACCGAGAAAGCCCTAGAATTCAAACAACTTTGGGAGTATGCGGGTGGTCACTAGTCTATTTTCTTACTATATATGATCGAAAATTCTGTTTTTTCCGCTACAACCACCTTAAGAAATTAAGTCTTGGACAAATAAAATTGCTCAAAAGATATTCCCGTTCAAGGTATCTAATATCTACTTAGATCCTTGAGAAGACTTTACCATAGGCTGGAGCTTGGTCTCAAAAGTACCAAGTCACCATTCTTATTATGCACATAAATTCTGGATACTGAAGGCATCCTTTATCCACTTCACTCTGCACCAGGAGTGTCACCCGGAGTTGTTCTTCAAAACCTCCATATTAACACTATAGTTGTATCTATCATTTCGAAAATGTGTTCTTCGTGCATAAAAATTAAAAATCTTGTGTTTCCAATTCTACATAAGGTTTGTCCTTGTTAGTTTACCACTCCTTCCCAAAAGCTTAAACTATTAGGAGGTAAGTCAATAATAGTTTCTATATGTTAACACTCCTCCTCGTGTGTGGGCTAGATAAGAGGCAATCGTATAGGGAAATATTCATTGGAAAGTCCAACACAAGAATATAAAATAATAAGCCCAAAACATATTAAAGATGTGACATGTATTGACAATTTAGACAATGCAATTAATTACAAGGGTACCAATTCATCCCAAAAGCTTAAACTATCAAGAAGTAGGCCAATAGTTTCTATATTTTAAAAAGTACTTTTATTGAAATTCAAATAAGAACAAGTATACTTTGCGAAGGGAATATTTAGAGTGAATACAGTTAGTACGGCTTCTAACCCTAATTCTGAAATACAGTCAACATTTTGTGCAATAAACTCTCCATACTGATAATGGCACCGAGTATTTTAATGAGCATTTGGGAAATTTTTTGAAAGAAAAAGGCACTCAACGTCAATCCACTTGTATTGATACTCCTCAACAAAATAGAATTGCGGAAAGAAAAAATAAGCATTTACTGAGTTGCTCGTGCAATAATGTTTTCCATGCATGTTCCTAAATATCTCTAGGGAGACGTATGGTGCATTTGGAACTCGTTCCAAAATGATTTTGTTTTTTGTATGAAAATGGAAATGAAAACGTTTTCAATCTCAGACAGAAATTATTTTTGAAAATGCGTTTGATAGTTTTATCAAGAGATTGTTTTCAGTATAAAAAACTCATTAATGTCTCTCTCTTTCTCTGCTCGAGAGAGGAGAAAACGAAAATAAGTCGTTTTTCATTTTTCTCCCATTTTACACTAAACCAAAAAATCATTTTCATTTCCGTTTTTTGTCTTTAATTGTGCCAAACGCCGTTTTGGAATCGTTTTCATTTTTTCTTTCTCGAAAAACGTGAAACAAAAACAAGAACAATTCCAAACACAGCAATAGTTTTAATTGCAACATATTTGATTAATAGGATGCCCACTCGTATTTTGAAGTATAACACACCTCTAGAGTGTTTTAAAGATTTTTTCCCACACTCAAGATTGTTCTCTGATTTACCTTTAAAAGGTTTTTGGCTGCACAGTATTTGTCCATATACCCAATAAATTTCGGTCTAAACTTGATCCTTGAGCGGAAAAGTGTCTTTATTGGTTATGCCCCAAATGAAAGGGGATACAAATGTTATAATCCTCATACCAGAAAAATTCATGCGAGTATGGATGTTTCTTTTTTGGAGAATCAACCTTTTTCTCACAAAAATTATCTTTAGGGGGGGAATTAAACACAAGACGACAATTTTTGGGATTTGTCTACTATTTCCTTACCAAACACAATTACATCCGTTTCCACTCCTATTTCCTTCCCCATTTCAGATTTGCAAACTCGGGAAAAAATTACCCAAGATATTGAAGATAATAGAGGTACTAGTCAACAGTTGCCAAATTTAGATGTCTCACAAACAAGGGGAGAAATACTACAAAAGAATCAAAGAAGTCTGAACACTGAGCTTCTTGTTTATACTAGGAGAAGGCCTCATCATGAGAGTAAAGATCTGCTTGTTATTGTTGGACAAAATCAATCAGAATCTCCGGGTGATGGCTCTCCTAACATTCCAGGTATTTCAATTCCCATTTCTTCCCCAATTAAGCCTCATGTTTCTTCTTCAACTGAACCTTCTAATAAAGAATTCTCATACCTAAATATTCCTATGGCTATTAGGGTTCATAAAGAATCCTCAGACCTAAATATTCCTATAGCTATTAGGAAAGGAATCAGAACATGCACCAAACATCCTATTGCTAAATACCTATGAAAAGCTTTCTCAAAACCATAGGGCATTTACTTCTAAAATTTCTCACTTGTTTGTCCCTAGAAACATACAGAAAGCCCTTGATGATCCAGATTAGAAATTAGCAGTTATGAAGAGATGAATGCTTTTAGAAAAAATGGTGTACTTGGCAGATAGTTGACTTACCAAGAGAAAATAAGACAGTTGGCTGCAAATAGGTGTTTATTGTAAAATGCAGGGCTGATGGTAACATTGAAAGGTACAATGCGAGATTAGTGGCGAAAGGTTTTACACAAACCTATGGGATTAACTACCAGGAAACATTCGCTCCAATAACCAAGATAAATTCAATCAGAGTTTGTTATCTTTAGCTGTGAATGCTAACTGACCTTTACACCAGTTAGACGTAAAGAATGCTTTTTTAGACGGAGACTTGGAAGAAGTCTTTATGAGCCTACCTCCTAGTTTAGAGGAGAGATTTGGTAAGGATAAAGTTTGCAAACTAAAGAAGTCGTCGTATGACCTTAAACAGTCTACTAGATCATGGTTTAAGCGCTTTGGGAAGGTTGTGAAGAGTTATGGTTACTGCCAAAGTGAAGCATATCACACCATGTTTTTTAAGCATTTCATAGAAGGTAAAATTGCAATTTTAATCGTCTATGTGGATGATATAATCTTAACAGGTGATGATAATGCTGAACTAGACAAACTAAAGAAGAGACTTGCTGATGACTTCGAGATCAAGGACTTGGGCACTTTAAAATATTTCCTTGGGCCGGAATTTGCCAGATCTAAAGAGGGCATATTTGTTAACCAGTGGAATTATGTTCTTGATCTGCTCAGTGAAACAAGACTACTTGGTTGCAAAGCTGCTGAAACATCAATTGAGCCCAACCTCAAGCTACAATCAGCCAAACCCGAAAATGTGGTGAACAAAGAACAGTATCAAAGGCTCGTTGGAAGATTGATTTATTTGTCTCATACACGTCCAGATTTAGCGTTTGCAATAAGCATGGTAAGTCAATTCATGCATTCGCCTGGACAAGAACACTTTGATGCAGTCTATAGAATCTTGAGGTATTTGAAAGGAACTCCAGGAAGGGGTCTATTGTTCAAAAGTCATGGTCATCTACAAATTGAAGTCTATACTGATGCAGATTGGGCTGGGAGTATAACCGATAGACAGTTGACCTCTGGTTATTGTACCTCTGTAGGAGGTAATCTTGTGACATGGCAAAGCAAGAAACAAAACATAGTAGCTCGGAGTAGTGCATAAGCTTAATTCAAGTCAATTGCTCATGGAATTTGTGAGGTATTGTGGATTAAAAGATTGCTAAAAGACTTGAAGATTACAGACTCTTCACCCGTGAAAGTATATTGTGACAACAAGCAGCCATCTCCATTACTCATAATCCGGTTTTCCATGACAGAACAAAGCATGTAGAGGTTGATAAGCATTTTATTAAGGAAAATCTTGATGGTGGACTGATTTGTATGCCATATATTCCAACTACTGAGCAGGTTGCTAATATACTGACTAAGGGACTAAACAAGAAGATGTTCGACAGATTGATTGGCAAGCTGGCAATGGAAGATATCTTTAAACCAGCTTGAGGGGGAGTGTTGGAAAATAAAAGCTTTGGCTGAGATTTTGCTTAATCATAGGAGATTTGTTAGGTGATCTGTTTTATGTAAATTAGTAGCTAGTCAAATCTGTAAAATAGGAAATTAACAGAATAGGATAGATGGCGTAGTTATTGTCCCTGATTTTACTCTTTGTATTCTCCTATAAGTAGGAAACTCTGTAAACCATTTTAGATATAAGTCAATATACAAGAAATTCCCACTACTCTCTCTTACCTTTTCTATGTTTATATCAACCAAAGGGAGAAATCCTAAAATGGAGAATCTGTCGAAGCCCAAAGAGAAGCCAAAAATTTTCCTTTCTCAAAGAGAACCTCTGTTTGCGAATCCTTCTCTTCAAAAATTCTCTGATTTCTTTCCAACCAAATCACACAAAAAGGAAGCTAGATGACTGAGCTTTATTTTACTTATAACTATATTTTTGTGCCCGGTTTTTTCCTTCCATCACCAAAGTAATATTTTTACACCAACAAAAAAAAATGTACAAGTAATCTAGCCTTTCCTTTCATTGTCACTTATGAAATAACAAGGATTCATACCTTGAGAGTGGCAAGAAACTCAAAGCTATCATAACAGCGGACATACAAGAACCGTCTCATGCACAAAGCATATAATTCCACATCATAAGCAATATGAGATTTCCTTATTTTATGACATGACTGAGTATCAACATTATCTTGCTCCTGATTTCTCTCAACGATTGACCCTAAAGAGATTTTTAACAAAATTTTAGCAATAACATACAAATGCTAAAGCTTCTAAACAACAGAGATAAATATAAATCATCACGCTTAATTGCAACAAATTGCTTAGAATGGCGCTAATATGAAATGGCTGTGACCCTTTTATGAAGCATACACAACATAAGGAAATGACAAACTTTAATGCAAATGTCATTTGATAAAATCCTCCATGAAGCAGATCTCATAGATTAAGGATTGATTGGGATTGATTTGGTGACTGGAATTAATTTTAGATTATGTTTTTATGTATATCAACCAAATCAATCGCAATCAATTCCCCAATCAACCAAATCAATCTTTAATCAATGCGAGCTGCATCACTCAGAGATTCCAACCTTTTTTTCCTCCACCTGACTCAATATAGCATTGGGTGTTTGAAATATCTAAGTTACGACCTAATGTATGTCAGTTTCACTAAAATAGAGAGAAAGGTTCTCATCTCCTTCAAGATTCGCATATTTTTTATAACAGACATGATACTGTATTTCACCTACTAGTTGACTAGACCAAAAAAGAAAACTACAAAATACCAATGAAGAAACAGAAGCAAAAATTCATATGTGTATATTAATGAAGAAAAGAGTATTACCAGTTGCTTCCATCATTCGCTGCTTTAACATTTTCGAAAGGCATGAAATATCGAAGCGACAATCGAGGTCAATGAACATCACCGGACGCTCCAAACCTCCGTAGTGGGCCCCATTCCATTCCTTAGGAAGAATGCAACTAATAGCAGCCTAAAAACATAACAAAACTAATTACTAGACAAAAGAGAAGACAGTTTCAAACATTATTGAGGATTTTTTTTGTTCAATTGAGAGTTGCGAAAGCTAAAATTCGACCTGAATTATGATGAATGCAACTGATTGTAGCCAAAAAAAATGTCAACAGAATCATCTATCGTAATATCTTACAACCCTAGCTTTGATAAATTGGGATGATGATTAGGGTTTTTTTTTCAATGAAGAAGTTTTGATGGCTAAAAGAATTGACCTGAATTAAGATGAGAGTTTTAGAAGAAGGAGAGGGACCGACGAGCTCGACGACATTGCCGACGCGCAGAGGAAGACGGTGAAGCGGAGGAAGAAGGAGAAAGGGGCGTTCGGTTGAAACCCTAGCAAGCATCTCCGCTGCGCTCTCGTCTACATCGATCCACCTTTTCGCCTCCATTTTCAGCCACGATCATCTACATACAGCCTCTCTCTCTCTCTCTCTCAGAGAAACGGCTGAGCCCAGCTTGGCGGGAGAACATGCAAAGGAGAGACGAAATTGTATTTTCAAACCTATGAACCAGAGATGCGGGGTTTGTTTTTTGAGTGAAAAATTCAAAAAAAATCAACTCAAGTTATAATTTTATTCGATTTCATATTCTTTTAAGTTTAAACTCAAGTTTATGACTAAGGGTTCGTTTAGTATAAGGATTAAAATCAGGGTGATTTGAGTCATTTGATTCAGATCCATGATTCATGATTTGAATCATGATTCAGAGTGATCAGAACCTTCGTTTGGATGTGTATATGCATGATTCTGATTCTAGCCTGAAATGTGATTCGAATCAGTGTTTAGTTGTCTTATTTTCTGAATTTGAATCATGACCAAAATAAATATAATTTAAGAAATTATATAATAAATATAAATCGTTACGTGTAATTTAAAAAAATATATAATTCGTCATATAATTAAAAAAAAAGTATTAGAAAAAAATTATACAAATAATTATAACTCAAAATTATAACAAGTTAAGTGAGAAATATATGAAAAAAATGTGAATTAAAAATAAAAGCCAAACATAACTTGTCTCCCACGAGCAACAATTTATAACAAGCCAATTAGTAGAAAAAATTTCACCACATCAAACACGAGAACAATTATATAAAAAGCCAATGAGAAAAATTCTCACCCGCATGTCAAATCACCATGTCAAATCACCTTTTTTACTGTTCATGGGGTTTCAAACGGGTGAATTAGGGGGGGCCTGATTCCAAAATCATGCCCCAAAATGATCCCAATCACTTTTTTGATCCCATTTTTTACTGTTTATTTTTATCTTTTCAAACACTGATTTAACCTTAATCAGGGGATTTGAATCCCTCAATCCCCCAATCCCCCAACCAAACATGCACTAAAACTCGAGTTCAAATTTTCCCTTTAACTCGAGTTCAAAAACTCGAACTCAAATTAATAAACAGTATTTTATATTTTTAAAAATGCTATAACTTTTTCGTTTTAATTCTGATTGAGATGATTTTTTTTCTATGCGTTGATAACAAAAAGGCGAATAAAACCCGACCTATATACCCTATTCAAATTTTTCATCAGCATTGAGTTTTTATTAAAATATTATCTAAATACAAATTCAAGTTTTGACTCACTCAAACACAAACTCAAAAAAATTTTTATCTCAAACCATAACTCAAATGTATACAACCAAATACAAACTCAAGTTACAAGTTCAACTCAAGTTATAACTCAAATTCAACTCAAGAATTATACTCAAGTTAAACTCCAAAAGAACAAGCCCATACTTATCAGAAGAATGGGAGTCAATTCCATGTTTATTTACTTTTTTTTATTCTGGAATGAGAGTGAGATTGGTGGACCCCACTCAAATTTAGGATTGAAGAATATGATTGACACTCCTATACCCCCTTGAGATTGAGACTCTCATTCCTAATATTAATATTAATTTACTATTATACCTTTATTTTACTTATAAATACACAATTAAAAATAAAGTTAAAAAAATAATAAATGTAACATATATTTATTATTTTATTTGCCTAATATTATAATATTAGCATAATTATTGTTAACTTTAATATAATAAATATGTACTTTATTTTTAATAAATTAATAATATATTTTATTTTTTAACACTATTTTTTATTTGTATTTATTTTATTTAAAATTTATTTTTATATTTTAAATAGATGTACAATTTATATTTATTATTTTAGTACCCAATTATTAAACAAAATATTTTAATTATGATTAATTTTAATATAGTAAGTACACTATATTTTTTAAATTGAAAATATCAAATTGATTTAAAGGGTATATTAGTACTTTTACACTTTTTTATTCCGATTCTGGGTGTAAGTAAACGTATAAATGAGATTTGGAATGACTTCAATTTCGAATCCTATCACTAAGTAAACAGTTTATTTTGACTCTAATTCCTCACTCCGAATCCTACACATTCCGAATCATGCCCACTCCGATTCATGCTCATTCCGATTACGTATAGGTAAACATACTAAAATTGTAGACAGTTTGGTTGCAGTGGAAAAATGGTAATAGAAATAAAAATAGAAATAGAAATAGTAATAAAATATAATAAAAAAGAAAAATAATTTATTTATTTAATTTTATTTTTATAAATGCAATGAGATAAGATATTAATATTTTCATGTTAATAAAAGTACCTCTCATATTAATATAACTAATATCATATATATTAATATAATTATTTAATAACAAATATTATATATATAATTATAAGAATATAATATATATAA